GTCTTGCCTCTGTTCATGGCGAATTGGTTCATTCTGCTCAAGGATCTCCTGCTTGAGACCGTCTTTATCCAGATTGTCCTAGGATTCCCCAACTTGGCCAAGCAGTTTCTCAGATTCGATGCCAAGCGTCGACTTCCCAAAGATTATCCCGTCGACATTCACTTCAAACCCAAGTACAATCCCTTTGAGCAGCGCCTCAACATGTGTCCGGATGGTAATGTCTTCAAGACGCTGCATCAGCCCAATACGGAGATCGTCACGGACCATATCGACACGGTCACGAAGGATGGCATTCTCACCAAATCCGGTCGTCACCTGCCTGCCGACATCATTGTTACGGCGACTGGACTGCACGTGCAACTTTTCGGAGGTACAGACGTGACGGTTGATGGCGTTCCCGTCAAGGTTGGAGAGAAGTACAGCTGGCGCGGATGCATGCTCGACGGCGTGCCCAATGCCGCTGCAATAATCGGCTACGTCACTCAAACCTGGACTCCTGGCGCCGACACCGTGACCCGGCTCTGCATCCGTGTCATTAAGCAGATGCAGAAGACCGGCGCCGTCGCTGCCACCCCCGTCTTGTCGGACGAGGAGAAGAAGAACTCGCCCAGGTTGCCTTGTGTAGATGCCACATCCAACTACTTCACCCGCGCGCACGGTCGGATGCCCGTGGTGACTAACCAGGGACCTTGGTATGGAAGAAAGAATCTCATCGTGGATAAGCTGGCGCTGTGGTTCGGAAGTGTGACGGTAGGCATGGACTACCGCTTGGCAACGAAGTCGAAGGACATTTGATGATTATGAGAATAACGAGCCATGTATGTCAGTGTACCTGGACGTCAGCATAGAGTTGAGAACGTGACGGGACCGAATTTAAGATTGCTTGGCAAGCCGAGAGCCTCCCATTTTTTAACCGTCTCACCTAAGATCCTACGCTGATCATGTATCCGCCGTGATCCTGATCCGCTGATTCGTCGGCGATTGCGAGGGCGTAAGCTGCCTTTGCTATGCTCGAAGGTGAGGCGAGACCTGACTCCCGTGCTCACTGGGGCTGTACTTCAGACTTATTTCACCATAGAAATCGTTTGCCACAGATGACGGGAAAGCTCAAGTGCCAAGGTGGTACTGGGGTTTTGGGGCCTCCCAACTCAGGTGAGTTGTTGATTTCAGAGGAACGAGCAAGGAGCGGTTCTCTTGGTCTCAGCGATAATCCCGGGAAGATCGACTATGCCCACCCATTGATCGGTAATTCGTGGCCGCCGATCAACGGCGAGTTTCTGAGTTAACCTTACCAAGCAGAATGTTCCTAAAAGATATGCATAACATATGTTACTAAGTGGAGTGAAGGAGACGCGCCAAGTCTGCGTCTATAGGAACCTCGTGTGCACGGTCACGCAGCCGCTGGGACACTTTTGGGACAGCTCCAGACGCATAACGAAACGCTGCGACGCAATAGCGGGATGGCGGCAAAACCCCGGCACGGGGCCGTCTCGGGAGGATTTCAGGCTCGACAGAACCCCAGTTGCAACTCGTATCGATGTTTACCGTCCCGAAGAGCCAAGTTGCGCAAGTTCAAGTTGATGAGTTAGCGACGATGAGTCGTCTCCCGCTAACGACCCAAACGTGGCTATGGTGACCGGCTTTTCAGGTCTTCTGGCTGAGGGAGACTAGAATGATTCATGTGAGAACCAGACCCATCTCATCCGTTCGCCGTCCGAGCACTCGTGCCGCATGAAATGCAAGAAGTGAGGCTCTGAGCACGGAATTTCAGGCTCCCGACAAGTATCGCTTCACCCGATGTTTCTTCGTCCAACCCGCAGCCTTTCCGTGCGGGGAGGACCCCATCGAGCCCATCCTACTGGACGTGCTCGCCAGGTTTGATCAGCGTAAACAAACCGGGCCACGAATCCCACCCACCGAGCCAACGAACCTCTGCCCCTGTTCGAGGCCTCCCCACGGCAAGTAAGAAATGCGATTCGCCTGATGCTCGAAACGCCTTCGCAATGTACATCAGAACAACACCACACAGCGCGAGAGTGGTAGGCAAGCACTTACCCAAAATCGTTCGCCAAGGCGAGACGACAGCGTCGTTTCGAGATGGAAATAGAGTCCGCGTTGCCAAGAAACGTCAGCGGGATGCCATTTGATATCCACAACACCGGCTCTGCGGCAGCTGTGCGTCTCGGGAGTTTCTAAGCTTGCTGTTCGAGTTTGTGGCGATCCGAGGCATCCGCCCTGCTGGGCTGCCAAAATGTTGAAATATCCGTTTCGTCCACCCGTCTTTCCATCTTTCGACGAACTCTCTATCCTCAGTGTCCTATTTCTGTCCGGTCCACTCGATAATATCCATTCTTCACTTACGAGCTGCGCTCATTCAACTCAACGTACAACGTTTAATCATTCACTCAAGTCAATACCGCCAATATGCGTTTCACCATCGCTCTCACTACCTTGGTCGCCGCCGTCATGGCCGCACCTCTCGATACCCTTGCTGCCCGCCAGGACGAGCTCAACGCCGCCATCCAGGCCCTCGCTGCCGAGAACCCTGAGGATGCCGAGGCCGCCAAGGGTCTCCTAGGCCGCGACATCAACCCTAATGTCCAGCTCACGAACGACGACGAGCAGGAGGAGGTCTTCAAGCGCGACATCAACCCCGACGTTCAGCTTACCAGCGATGATGAGCAGGAGGAAGTCTTCAAGCGCAACATCAACCCTGACGTTCAGCTTACCAACGATGATGAGCAGGAGGAAGTCTTCAAGCGCGACATCAACCCCGACATTCAGCTTACCAACGATGATGAGCAAGAGGAGGTCTTCAAGAGGGACATCAACCCTAACGTTCAATTGACAAACGACGATGAGCAGGAGGAGGTCTTCAAGAGGGACATCAACCCCAACGTCCAGCTCACCAACGATGATGAGCAGGAGGAGGTCTTCTAAATAAAAGCAGTTACCATGATAGCTTAAATTTGAATGCCATCTCAGTCTAAGTAATTACATTGGAAAAGCGGTGTCGAGACTTCTATTGACTTTTGTCACGAGTTATGGCACGCAGCAATGGGCATATGAAGTGGGTTAAAGTGGCTTGAAGTAACCCATCTAGAATGAGCACATGAGAGCAGTCTATATACTAAGAGAGTGTGATATCCACGTGAGAAAGCACGTGGCAAGATGCTTGACAAGTGCTGATACCATTCCTGTTTCGTGACAACTTTTGACTCCCGGGTAATGGTCACATCAATCAAAAGTTGATCACCCTCGACAAAGAGTTCGAACAGTGGCCTGACCAGCTGCTTAGGTACTTACTTGTGACATATGAGAAACTAATTGTCCCTAAGGCTCTATGTATGCGCACATGTAGATTTCCGATATGCCCCAAACTTTCGCTAGGATTGGGCTTGCTAAAGCTGGGATTTTGATGATAGTGTCTTGGTAATTAATCGACGCTGTGTTTTGGGTTCGCAGACACCGACGTTGATACATTGTTGTACTGGGTACATAAAGGTGACAGTAAAGGCAACATAGCTAATCTTCGTGAAAGGTTGGTTAATTGAAATCACGAGAAATATGCGCCAATGTTTGAGTGTCAGAGTGACTGTTTTTGTTGATAATTACTAAGACTTCGTATAGCTACATGTATACTGGAAATGTTACGGCGATTTGATGCCAGTGTGAAGTGCGAGGCCGTTATCGGATTTTCCTTGTCTTGTCTATAGAGACTATCTTCGCAATGAGACGAGTCTGTGAGTGTGACAGGTCCTTGGCGCAGCTATCTTCGCAATGATGACTTTTCCTCAATTGCCAGTCTAACTCTTGTCCTAGTGATTGTTACATGTACATTTCATGTATTCTTGAACACTCTGCTACTGCCCGTCTGGGGGCGGTTTAAGATTTGGCGGCTTCCGGCATTCACATCCATGTACGCATTGGTAGAAGACGTGGTCGCCGCCAAGAGCCGCAGGGGCGCAAAGTGCAGGGCAAAGACCTCTCAAGCTCGCCTTTGATCTGGAAGTTAGAAGAGTCCATGTAACATCTCAGTGGTGGTACTACTTACGTGGATACACAAGTTACTACCAGTTGATGTCGTCGCGAGCGTCATAGCCTGGCTGGATTCATCTGCCGAAAAGGTGTCATTTATCGCAATCGGAAGCGTTTGAGTGGTTGTCTTCTGGTGAGTTCTGTTGAAGTAGGTTGGAAATGCCATGCCAGGAGTGATCAAGGCGGCAGCAAGAACCTGGACGATAGCTGACAGATGCATCTTGATGAGTTGAGAAGAGATCTCCCTTCGTTTGCTGTTCAGGTTTGTGTTTGTGTGATGTGAGAAGTATGTAACGATGAATCGTGTTCGCGATTGTAGTTTGCGTTGGATGGATGCTTGAGAAACTAAATCACAGCTGGAAAGCAAGGTCATGACCTATGTATTGCCGGAGGTAACTTTCTCCGCCACTTGAATCAATTTGACTTTGAATGGGTCCAGGGCTGTTTCGCTCTGGGATCGTGTTAGTTTCGGAGATGGAATGAACGGGGCTTTGTGGTTATGAACTCTAGACAAATGAGTTTGTTGTCTGACTGGTTAAGAGGCAAGTGTGAAGTCCGTCAAGGTGGGTGTCTATTTTCTAAGCGGCACTCCCACTATTTAGTTTTGCACCTGGACAGTTTCCGGATTAGCCAGTCTGGAACCAATGTTGCAGACAAGATCTTACGAAAATTACTCAATTCACAAAGCGAAAAATTAAGTGGAAGACATATATCGTAGAAATTGGCTTGTTTCCTCTATTTGAGGGACCTAGAAGAGGTCGTATGATGTACCTATAACTCGTACGAGACGGGCCATCGGCTCGTGGCGAGCCGCATCGTATGGTAATGATCAGCAGCGCGTGTGGCGCTCAACTCAAGTATGCTACAAGTCCAAGATTTCACGTTTTTGGGATGTTTAATCATGCCAATGTTCTTCAACTGGGATCAAATTCTTCATCAGGAGGCTACTTAAGAAAGTCTAACTACTTAGTGCTGTCAAGGAAGAGGTTGAGGTGACGCGTATAGAGTTCTGGATACTGGAAGAGATGACCGTGGCCAGCATCAGGATAGATGATGAGTTGAGCATTCGACAAGTTTTGTTGAAGAGTAAAACTGTTGGAAGTTGGTGACATGATGTCAGTGTGGCCGTTGGTGACTAAAGTTGGAGCTTTGATGCTCTTCACGCGCTCAAAGTTGTCCGTGTCGACTGTGAATGAGAAGATTGCATTGAGCTGGGCCCTTGCCCCGGGTCCGGCCAGATACTCTCTACGCTCCTCGCCGTCAACCTTTCGCTCGTGGATCCGCTTCCACCACGCTTCGCCAAGTGCCAGGCTTGTCTCCGACGGGTAGTAGAAGAGACGGAACATGTCCTCCTTGGTGGGTGGCTCGTCGTTGGCTGTACCGGCACTTTCAAGAACCTCGCGGGGTGGCAGGACAACTCCTTCTCCGATACCTGGTTGGGTCCCAGCCAGAATCAACTTGTGGACTAGCTGAGGGTGATTCCATGCCAAAATTTGAGCCACACCGCCTCCCATGGAAAACCCAATCACATCAACCTTGGTAACACCAAGGGCAGACAGAAACTTGGCCGCAATTGAAGCCATGACTTCAGTGGAAGGGGGCACTTCGCCCTCGCTATGCCCGATACCGAAACTGTCGTACACGATAACTTCTCTAGTTGTCGCAATGGTATTGAAGAGAAGGGGGTCGAGGGTGTCCATTGAGCCGCGAAGGTGATTGACGTAAAGCAAGGGAATCTTATTCTTTACCCCAAGTCGACGGTAAGCGACCCGGGTGTTGTCAACAGCGACATATTGAGTCTGGACTGTTTGATAGGTGGACATTGTGATGATGCGCGAAGGAAGTTGTGAGTTGTTGCTAGACTTGGGTGCTGGACGATATCTGATTGAAGTTATGAATTCGGTTTCTGTTGATTGTACAGATTAACATTGAAGATCTAGCATTGTGTGATTCGACTTTATATACGATCTTCCGCCTCTTCCGGCTTCATGAGTACTGATGAGTGGTCTCCCGAGCTTCCGGTAATGACTTCGAGATATATGTCATCCTTCCCGACTGGGATCTCCAACCTCGGAAGCTCTGGTATGAATTGGAATTCAAGGTTAGTGATGTATGGAAAAGTCGCCTACCCCACGTAGGCTTTCTCGCCCAGCTGCTGCGCATGATTACTCAAGGGCACAGACATGGCCTGTACCCCAATCTTCGGATCCGGGGCAATGTGGAGCAATCTTAAGGTACGGACCGATGTGTGGAGTACAATCAGTAATCGCTCCGGATGGAGGGCCGGAGTGATCCGGACCCCGCCGGCTGCTAAGACGATTTCTAAGCGGATGGGCGTAGACAGAAAATGACGAACCGAGATGAAGGTGCCGATCTCTGAGATTGCAGGCGCTGACGGAGAATGAGTTGCATACCCTGAGAATATGTCGATTCCGACTAGGTAAAATGCTAAGTAATCATGAATACGGCAAGACGGCGTCATGACACGGAGTGCCCATCGTCGGAGATGTTGTTGAAGATATAACAAACTACCTTTCAGGCTACCATTGGAGTAGAAGGGCTCCTGGCATACCTAATTCTCTCCTCGATCTCACCCTTTGCGTAGACCTACTTACTGTACGCAAAACAACAAAACTATTGTTATAAAGCTCAATTCGACCACAACTTACAACTCCTAGGCAGTTCAGACTCTCCAGAAAACATCTCTAAGTTTGGTTGGAAAGACGTCGACATGGCTCAAACGATGAAGGCTTACCAATTTTCAACTCCGGCGAAAGGCCTGGAATACCGTGAGCTACCCATTCCGGTCCCGGTCAAGGATCAGCTCCTTGTCCAGATCAAGGCGACTGGGCTTTGCCATACCGATTGCAACATCATTTCGGGACTCGACAATACGTTCTTTTGGAACAGGCCCATCACTCTGGGCCACGAAATTGCCGGTATAGTGGTGGGTTGTGGACCCGAGGTCTCCAAGTTTGCAGCTGGAGACCAAGTTGTGTCCGTGATCACCGCGAAACACCCGGTAGAGATCGGTGATGTTGTCAAAAGCCCCGGTATCGGCATAGACGGCGGGTTCGCCGAGTACGTATTGCTCTACGAATCGAAGACTCTTCCCATACCCGACGGAGTCAGCTTTGCGCAAGCCGCCGTTGCCACAGATGCCATTGCGACAGCGTATCACGCTGTTGCAACTGAGGGGCAGGTTCAAAAGTCATCGAAAGTTGCCATCATTGGACTAGGTGGCCTTGGATTATCCGCTGTTCAAATTGCATCTCACCGTGGCGCCAAGGTCTATGGGGTCGATCTGCATCGTCGCAAGTATCCTGCAGCAATGATGTCTGGGGCCTACTGCTGTGGAAGATCCCTGGACGACTTCCCTGGCGTCAAGTTTGATGTTATTTTTGACTTTGCTGGAGTCGGTATCACCACTGCTGCCGCCGCCAAAGCCGTACAAGCGGGTGGGAAAGTTGTTCTCGTCGGACTTACCAAGAAGGAGGCCACGATCGACACGCATAATCTCGTCGCCTTGGGTGTGCGCCTTGTGGGATCTGTTGGGTCGTCCATGGATGAAGTTGAGATAGCGCTGAAGATGGTTGCAAAGAAGGAAATTACTCCTGCTATCGAAGAGGTTGCTTTTGGAAACTTGAAGAGTGAGTTACACCGACTAGAGCGAGGTGATACCGTCGGGCGTCTGTATGCCGACCCGTCCAAACCAGCTGAGATGGTGGTAAGAGCTTAGGAGATGCGAATCTGAAGATAATGTATCCTGTTTATATTCGAGTCTGAGTCCAGTCACGCACCGGACTCACGTTGGATCCTTCGCGTCCTTTCAATGATTTGTACTTGTCTCTCGCTGCAGTGCTTTGGCCTCAGATTGTCGCACCGTCATTTTCGTAGCTGATGCCTCTCTGGCAAATTGAGAGAGCCTTGGTATTTGTCGAGGATTCTCAGGAGATTGCATGCCGTGCCTAGCCGGAGTCACGACTCAAATCAGAACCCGGCTGCCCTCATGGAACTCGCTTAATCTCTTGGTGAGCCTGAATATCCGTCGTAACTCATCACCTCTGAGAGCTGTGCTGCGTGCAGCCTGTGATGGATAGATGGGGGTGAAAAGGTGTTCGGTCGTCACGGGCCCAGTCAATCTAGGATCTAGATGCAGTGCCTGGTGCATCCACCCACTCGCTTGGTCTCCAATTGATGCTGAATTTTTTTTTTACAGAGCTTAGGCGGCACAGCGCATGCCCTGGCGGCTCGAATATTCCCATGGTCGTTGATTTGCATTAGCCGGCTGTCCCCCCTATTCTCACGGAGGGCTTCCAAATTCGGATTCCGTGGCATTAGCCCAACGCGACATACCTACTCCGTATGCCGTACGAGCCAACAGAAGACGACGGCATCAAGGGCTCAAGGGAAAGCGAATGTTGCAGGATATCAACAGATTTTGGCCTAATCATCCCGGTGGTTCTAGGCGAACATATCCCAAATGGTTCCTCAGGGTACATGGGTGGAGGAGACTGGAGATATTCCTCGAAGCCAAGTCGACAAAACCTCGCGACCCAAGGCGTTTGCGGCGGCTGCTTTAGCCTCTAGGGCTATCCCGCCGGCACATATATTTGGTGACAGTACCTGGAGCAGTGGAGCATGTCAACAATCCAAGACGCGTGTTAAAACTGGATTTCCTAGAGACGTCGCCGTGGCGCCGAGGTCACCCGGGATTGGCGGCATTGTGCTCGAATATTTGATCTGTCACAATATGCTGATGGACTTATGCTGTGAGGGGCGGGGTTTCAGTGGGTTATGGTCACCAACTTCTGGATAATTTTACTGCAATCGGAATCGCGTTCGGACATGGCCCTTGCTTCTCAAACAAAGCTCCCGCCGCAGGCCATATTACGCCACACTTGAGGATTAATCAGCCTCCGTTGATCGGCCTCGACGAGAAGGAAGTGCTGCCCCGTTGCTGAAACGGCAGTCATGGAAGAAAGTATAGTGGAAGTAACTGGCAGCTTCCGAACCGTAGCCCCCGACATCCGAAGTTTCAGGATCTTGTGCCGGTCGAGACTTGCTCTATTGCTGGGGGCGATGGCTGGTCCGCGGAGGTACTGTAGTCTATCTAGCGGCTTCCGTAACACTCTTGCTATTTCGGGTTGTGAGCCCCCTCTCTCTCAGAACTTTCTAGACGGTGCTAATCATGAAGTCATTTCCATAGAACACATGGGAAAATTTCACGCGCTCCTTTGTTGACAGGCTGCGGCTCTGGAAATGTATAACCACGTCAGATACGCCGCTGTGGTCCATTCAGTCCTCATTCAGAATACCCAGTAACACATTCCCTAATCGGAATCCTTAGGCGTCGGCTTCAGGTCGGGGGGGGGGGGGGGGGGGGGGGGACAAGACTTTCCCCTATGGCCGGGGACTTAGGGCAGAGGTGTGATTAGGATCTGGACTGGTAGTCCCCAACGGATATCATGCGACAAATTGTCGAGGAATAGATAATCGCCTGTTTAGACTTGTCGAGTTCTGAAGTGCTCATCCCACATAGCCAGTCTTATTCATCAGAGCAAACAGTTGGCGGCTGTTTGGCCTGATGCTGAAGCTTTGCGGCGTGCGAAAGTGGCGTAAGGCTTATCCTGCGTCAAGCCGACAGTGCTGTTCTGGACTACACGGCCATAGCACATGAGAGCTAGTGCCGTCCATAGATACATCGGAATCACGTTCAATCTGGTTAACTCCCCACGTCATCGGTAATAGCGCCACATCAGCGCCGGGATTGCCTTCGTCTGGCATTTGCTCCGTGGCCTCTGGATGCTGCTGAGTCCATGAGGAACGCCGCGACCGCTAAGTGCGGGGAAAGGTTTCTTCGATGCTAAAGTGTGATACAGAAGAGGTCAAAATAGTTGTTCGCACCGAAAAAGGAAGGTGATGACTTCACGCAGTTCAGATAAAGAGGCATTTGTGTTGGTATCCCTATCACGGGGAAGTTGGTTCGAACCGCAGGGTCCTAGGGGTGACGAAGTATCAATATCTCTGTATTGATTGATTCTGCGTAAGGAGTAATAGAAGGGAGATTTCAACCGGAGGTTGGGTGGGTAGTCGAGGTCTAAGTGTACCCCCTCGAGGTGGCCCATGCTCTGCCCCTACTCGCGGCCGAATTCGACTTCCAATCCGACAATTTGTGAAGAATGTTGAGTTTGTTACAGCGTCTCTGGGAATCTGCAACTCAGGCGGTTGCTCATTCCGGTACTGTTCGCATGATACTAAGCACGAATAGTCGATGTGTCTCACGATCCTGTGACCACAAACTGCAAGGAGCTCAAGAAGTCACGAAACCTCCCGCCTTCGCGATGTTTAGGAAGCAGACTCTCCGTTCTCGGACTGCTCATCTGCCGTGTTCTGGAGATGCCCAGGACACTAGATCTGAATCGCGGGACCGACGTACCACCATCCCCTTGGCGATTAACTTGAGTCAATCGGTCTTGGCCGCAGACTTGTAGCGGTTTGTTTAGGCACCCCTTCGACGGGCATTGAGCCCTAGCATGCCAGGCTAAGTATGTATTCGTAGACGTTGCTTGCAGATGTCAGGGAAGATCACCATCCCTGTCAGTCATCTGAATCACAATGTGCCCGCTAATTATCCTTTAATCAACCCATCATGACATGGAGGCTGGGTACTGCGACTATCACCGGTCAGACGGGTTTGTAATGCTCAATCAGCAAGTTTGATGCTCGCTGGTTTGGGATATTTGAGGACTGAGGTCTGTCGTGATACTAGTCCGATAGCATCGATAGCGTAGACCCCTGGTTCTGCCCCAAATGGAGCCAATACCGACCAACTCTAGAGTGACGAGTCCCACCCGAGTTAGCCGAGGCCTGACTTTTAAAAGCCCCAAGTTCCACTCGGCGGGGATGCGTAGAGCTGGGAGTGGATTCGATGTCAGTGGAAATTTCGAGACGTGGATGAGATTAAGAAGAAATAGCTTCTTAGCGGCTGCAGTAAGCCCAACTGGATGACTTGTCCGATACACCAAGTGAGCTAGAAGTACACCATTGGACGATACATCGTGGAGAGTCGGAAAGGCTGCGGAGGAAATCGTTGAAAGACCACATTCGGTCTTCGGTCACTATTAGACCCCGCCAATGGCGCGTCTGTGAGTGCGAGCCGGCACGGCCGAATCCAAGGGTAACAAGACGGATCGCCAGTTGTGGTTGCAGGAATCCGAGACTAGAACTTTTGGGTGGGCTCATGTGCGGAGCACATCATGAAAATCTTACCACCCCAAGAATCAACTTCGCCGGAGGGATCACATACCTGTAACCTGGCATTGCCTGGCACATCAAAGTCGCACAACCAGTCCACCCAAATCATTCTCGCCGAGAAGAATTGCGGAGTATTCCATGCGACAGTGTGGCTCAGCGGTGAGTCTGCAACAAGCTTCCAAGATTCGCCAAGCTACACAAACTCTAACCCTGCGAATGCGAAGGGCCTCAAGACTAAAGGTGGTCGACCTGACGGCCCTGACGCCGACTCATGACCCTGTGAAGAAACATCCGAACTGACCACTCATCGTCCAACTGCAGTCCATTCCAGGAATTCGGATAGCGCCTAAATGATGGGCCCTCCCCCATTGACTGAGGATTTGAGGCAACTTGCCCGCGTCCTTCTCCCACATCCCGATGAACGACTCCCAGCGCAATGGTTCAGCTCATGGGATTAAGTCTAAATTCTGGCAGTGCATTCACTACCACCTGGAGCCCCTAAACTTTACTTTTAGGGGGATATGGAGAGATCCGATTGACAAGTCGGAGGCCGCGGAACACAGCAGACCGGCGGAAACTGCCAAAAAATCGGGCGAGCTCGTCATTCATGGCCATCCCATGCCTACATCATCGCACATGATGCAGCAGTAATCTGCATCAAGAACCTTGCAGAAAATACCTCAATCCTAGCCTATCGCAAGCTATCCACAGGTGGCCTAGCTCATGGAGGGGTGACCCAGGTTGTCGAATATAGGCCGGGGCCTTTTTGAAAGCCACGTTGATCCCCATTGCACAATGGCAACATGGATACCCAAAACAGACGGTGGTAAATCCAGAGGTGACATCCAAGCCGCATGGAGCATAAAAAAAGGGGACCGGGGCAAGTACGGGGCGCTCTAACGGGATGGCTACCGAAATGAACCTCTTGCGATGCTTCTACGCCAGCCTCATGCTCGTATAGCCCTCTAAATCTGACAGAACCCTCCCTCTTCTCTAGCCCTTGGCGGCTTGGCGAGGAGGGGTAATTTTTCAACGCCTTTTATGATTATTTTTCAGATGGATAAGATAATCTAATCAGATCTGCAGTGTGCGTCGTAGTATCCGTACCCGTCACACAGCTGCCCCTCCATTTGCTACGGCGAGCGTCTTCGGCGGTGGGTGGCATTACCGCATACGCTCCGTTTAATTACCTAACGAGCGAGAGAGGAAGGTTAGATGAAGAAAATAGCCGCCGTTGGTCCCGCGGCATGAACCTTGACGGGCAGGAGAAGATGCTGAAGAGAGGTACAAGTCCCTTGGCGAGATCTGGCCCTGCCCGGCATTCGTGGGATGATGAGACCGAGGAGAGTAAATAAAAGAGACAGCTTCCCCTCCAACCCCTCGTTGGATATGACGTCTCTTCACACCATTTGGAAATGTCTGCATCTGCTTTCATAGATACCCCTTTTAGTTCTTATTTGTCTTCCAAGATGGCAGCACCAC